ATGTACGCATTGATAACCTGTAAAACAGAAAGAATGTGGACATTCTCATATTGAATAATTTTCAATTAATTCATCATTGATAACAATAATAAAATACACCTGTTAACCAATCGCATCGAAATTGATTGAAATATTTGTAACAGAAACTAATCTATTCTGTAATACAAGGAACTGCTACGAACGCCTTATGAACGATTTTCAAACAATGGACATTCGGGAAGATTCGTAGGAAATTATTGTTCGTACGAACCTTTGTGACCGGAACCTTTGTGACCGTAGCATTATGACCGAGGCTTTACATATCGAAATATTGAATCTTAAATTCCCTCTAAAGTGTTGGAAACCTTAAAATGTTGATGGCAACATTTCACACAAATTGCATAATGATGTTGAAGAGGATGCATTCTACACTCTGCAATGCTTTTTTTTTTGGGGGGGGGGGGATTGTGTTGAAGGCAAATATCGAAGACAGAATTATATATTTGAGTTTTCTGCGTACAACACACATCTCAATTTCAGTTATTTCACCAATATTTGTCTTCAAACACATTTTTTTTAAAAATTACAATCTTTGCAGAATTGAGTATTAAACGACACGATTGTTCACGTTATTATGCAAATATTACCATTTTGTGGGTTCCCAAACCTTATAAAGAAGGGCTTTATTCCTTGTGATTCTCCAAAAGCAAGTACTTTCGATTATATACCCGGCAGAAGGTCACTTATAATAATATCTTAATTGAGTTCCTGTTATGTAACTGGCACATTATTTGAAACCAAAATAGAATCATTGGCACGTCTTTTGGATCGTCACTATGTACTTGCGTTATTTACGATTTGTTTATTACCATACAATCAAATTCCACGGTTTCCTGGAAGTGAAGCAAAACGTACACATAATTGTACAAAATATAGGGTACATTGTATGAAATACATCGTTTATAAGTTGTGAATAATGGAAATAAAGATACAACATGCACAATCAATCTTCGTAGCGTTTGAGATGCTTACGAGGGGTAAAATCGCTGTTGTGATGCATTTGGGATGCATTACACGATATCGCATTTAGATTGAAATCAGTATGTCGTGGTAAGGGCGGGTCTGTATGTGCTTTATCCTAAACTGTAAAAAAAAAGTTGGGCAGATGTTGATGTGCAAAACAAAGTTGGGCCAATTTTGTCCGATAATTGGGTTTTTTTCTCCCAACCATTTACTACATGAAATTATCTAGTGAAAGGTTAAAACAAAATAGGTTGAGTAGGTGTTACTTGGCGAATCGATGTTGGGCAAATGTTGTCCAATACTTAAGCTATTATCTACAAATCATGAAGTTACCGATGAAATAATTGGATGCTGTTATTTAGCAAGTTAAGGTTGGGCCATTTTCGTCCAATAATTGGGTTATTAAGGTTCTTCCAACTATTTACTAATGTATTTACCCAATCGAATGTTCAAAAGAAGTCAGGTAGATTTAATCACGTTTAATTGCCCAATTAATGTCTAATATGCTACACATTATGGTAAAATTTGGGGTGAATTTCTGATCGGGTAAATTTGCATGGTTGGTAAGAAATTGTGTATTTTATTTTTATCCAACACAGGGTAAATCATGCAAAGTCTTTAGTTTAACCAATAGTTGGTCGTACACATAATTGCCTCATGCTGGGTAAAAACTAGGCATTTAAAAAAAAAAAAATATGAAATACAATACCAAATACATGTAACTACCTTGTCATTTATCCATTCTTTGAACTGCAAAGTCCGAAAATCCCTGATCTCTAGGGTCTCGCCGCATATGTGATATCTACTGTCGGCCCGCTGAGAAGGAAGGGTTTGTCTGCGTTGTCTTTGTACCTCTGGCAAAATATCATCTGCAAAATAAACATGCATGGCAAGCCCATTCGTACTCATTCGTACTCTATATCATATTGTGTTACAAACTTCATCTCGTACACACAATACCACATAAGTCAAAACATTATTCAAACATTGATTTAACAATGGCGTGGGGTAGGCGTAGGGAATTGGAGACCCTTAAGCACATTTGCATAATTTAAATAAACATGAAAATGTTACACCTACAGAAAGTTTTGTATTCTCTTCAGTAACTTCTTTTCTTTATTTGATAACAAAATTGTGGTCATGATGTAACTGATTAATAAGATAACAATGATTAATGACGTCATCACCAAAGGTCTCTCAGAATAATGTTTTGCCAATGTGACTTTAACATTGATCAGACTCACAGCATAGAAACGGTTTCTTAAAGATAAAGTTGTGTTCTGGTCATGTGATTGCATTGTTAAAAAAAAATGTGTGGAATGGATAAGAAAAAGTTGATCATGTAGCATGTAAGTATTGGTGTGTACTGCACGGTTCTGGAGTCATCAAAATCATAAGAAATTTGACCCAGTCTTGGTAAAGTAACAAGCGCTGTACACAGAACGATGCACATAGGACTACACAAATGGTGTCGGGGCTACTAACCTTGGTTTCCTTAATACCTTTTTATGCTCATTACTCAGCCAGTATACATTTCATACCAAAATTGTTTGGTAAATGTTTTTTTTTTAAAATCTTGATTATTCAGTTGTCTGTGATGGTTGGCACACTTCATAACCTTCCTTTTAAAGCTACTTTTTAAGAGCCACCCCTAAATACCTGCATACACCACAACATTCAGTGAAAACTGTGTTTTTATATCAGAGCAAAATTTTACGATCAAAATTGCTCATCTTAGTCAATTTTTTCCAATTTTCTCCGAGAAATAACGCATTGTAGTCTTCGAAATGAATTGGATATATGCAGTAGTGTTAGGCCATATAATGCGCTATAGCAATATTGGAGCCAAAACGGACAGACAGTTATGGGGATCATAATTATGTATGGTTCGCTTTTACAGATATTCCTTTAACATATCGTATGGTCATTCAACCAATGTACACATATAGCTAAATAGCTGTTGCTATAATTAGTATTAGTTTAATTATTACTATTCTTATCATTATCATTTCTTAAAATCATTGTTGTTAGGCCTAATATTATTATTAAGTGCCTTGGTATAACCAGCTTATGGAACATAATCATTTGAAGTTTGAAGTGATTAAATCTGTCGAGTATTTTCTCTTTGACAGTAGATAAATAGGTCTCTTAAAAAATATTTTCAAACCATTTTAAAATCAGATATGCAATCTCAAAAGAAAGGCGTTTCCAAAAGTTATATTTCAGCTGAAAGTATGTAATGGGCCTTTTGAAAGAGCGCATCTGTCTTGAAAGCGTGCATCTTCGCAGACCGTTGTCAATAAATAAACATTGTGTGTTAACACAAAAGTGATAAAAAAAAATACAAAAGGGATAATGTTCATCGTTTCTGAAGGGTCTTTTCAAAGCTGCTTGAGAAGCTTCCGTCATGAAACATGGTGGAGTAAGAAGGACAAGACATCCGACAACTTCGATCTTGTTAATGACTTCCATAATTATATCACAAGAAATAGCCGATTCAACTTTAAATTAACACAAAGAGTAGGTAGTATTGGAAAATCGTTTTATTACATTGCCATAAAACATTGGAATTCCCTTCCTAATGATAAAAAGGAAATAGACAACTTAGCCAATTTTAAGAGGAAATTAAAGGAATACCTAAAACTTGAGAGGCACAGGAGAGAATCAAATGACATGTTATATGATTGACTTTTTTCTTCTTCTGCCTGTTCTGCCGGTTCATTCTTTTTAATTTTGTATGTACTTACGTTTTTGTAGGTGATAGAAATTCAACATATTCATCATCATTTTCCTCCTCTTCTTCCTCCTCCTCCTCCTCCTCCTCTTCTTTTTCTTCTTCTCCTTCTTCTTTTTCTTATTGTACTTAATATTATCATTTCTATCATCGGTTTAATGTTGTTATTATTTTCATCATTATTATCTTTAATAAGTTTCTTGTCTTATCTGTCTGTAAATATTACTGTTTTAACTAATTAATTATGTACATGTATGCCGGGGCCCCCAGTGGAAATAAAATCTCGAGCTTTCACGGGCTATCCTATTGAAGCTGAATTAACTTTGATATGTTATTCTTGTTTATTGTTGTATGTTGGAAGCTTGGCGAATAATTTTTTTTTAAAACAAAAAGGAATCAATCAATAAAATAGTGCAGAACCTTGCAGTATACACAACAATACTTATATCCTACCTGATTTGACGATCAACCATTTCTGATCGATTCCACAATGTTTCTTTCACAATGGAATTGCGTGATCTGGGGGGGGGGGGGCATTTCATGAAAGAATTAGTCGGTGGTTTTCACCGACTAATATCATTTCACCAACAATTTTATTGTCACCGACTATTTTCAAGGCCTCTGATTGGTCAAATTTAGTCAGTGCTGACTAAATTGTCGGTGAAAATGATATTAGTCGGTGCAAACCACCGACTAATTATTTCATGAAACGCCCCCCCCCCCCTCCCCAGAACTCAACTTTATTTTAAGTATGATAGTACATCTTTAAGTTGTAAAGCGCTTAGAGTCATTTATATAAAGCGCTTTATAAAAGCTAAATATTTTTATATCATGGCATGGTTTACCTGATTCTCTCTTGCACTGATCAGCAAACTTCACTTTCTTACATTCTGACAGCGTTGCTTGTCGAAGCTTTCTTTTAGCGCCTGGAAGGTAGTTAAATAAGACATCAAAAAATGTTTATCCTCTGATTCTTTCAAAACTCATCTCAAAACATTTCTTTTCAAGTCTTGATCTTTTTTTCCTGTTTACACGCGCCTTGAGCACTCCACAGAGTGGATTTGGCGCGATATAAGTTACATTATTATTATTATTATTATTATTATTAGAACATCAACTGCACCCTGTTGATATATATGCCTACACCTGCAACACAATTGTTTGGATGGAATATTCTGTTATCTTCTTTTGCGTCATTATGCAATGCATTTAATAATAATAAGTCTGAACTGAGTAAAATAACTGGCTAAGGCTTTCTCAATCTTTACTTACAGAATTTATGCGTCTTCAGTATTGAGGTTTGGGCATGTAATCCGAGAGAGTCATCAGAAGCGACTTTGAGGTGTTCGTGACTCGACGCAACTAAAAGAAAAAAGAGTATAGTATGCAAAACAAGGAATGGTTTTAAGTTCAACAGTGCGAATATTTTCAAGGAATGTAATGTGTGAACGCTCGCCTAAAACATTCTTTCTTTTCATCGCTATCCAAATCGCACTAACTGTTCTCAGTGTGTAAACGAGACTAAAGAAGGGCTCCCACTTAGCCGAGTTGGAGCCTTGAGTTGTGGCGAGCTGGCGCGATCTTATGGCAAGCAGTTTTATCATTAAAACATATTTCTTGATATCAAGAAATAATTTTACGTTGTAATGCAATGGTAATTCTTGATATCAAGAATTTGATTTCGTGATATTAAGAACTGAATTTTTCATATCAAGAAATATGTTTTAATGATAAAACGGCTAGCCATAAGCTTGCACCAGCTCGGCCTGCTTTACGATCCGTTTCGAGGGTTCGACATAAGAGTCGTGTTGAACCGTGAACGGTTTATGACCCGGTCACAAATACCATTACGAACTGCTACGGACGCCGTAAGAACGATTTTCATACCATTTCGTAAGATTCTTTTGAGAAGACCGTACGAAACCAACGGTCTACAAACGCTGATTTCGTACGGCCTTCTTATGAAGGTCTTACGAAATGGTATGAAAATCGTTCTAACGGCGTCCGTAGCACTTCGTAATGGTATTTGTGACCGAGTCTTTAAATGTTTTTAAATGTTGTTTTTTAAATATTTTTTTAACGGATTATCTACCTTAATTATGATAAAGAATAATTGTATTAATAAGTCTAAAGCAAATCCATACAAATCTAAAAACAGCAAACACTACATTAAGATTGTGGCGGCTGGGGAGGGGGGGGGGGGGGTATTTAAACTGACTCACCAGCGAGGGTGGGTGGTTTCTCATTATCTCTCTTTCCGTGCTGCACATTTTGCTCCAGTTCAGGCTCTAATTTTTTGGGGAAAAAAAAGGAATGAAAAATAGAATGAATTTTGTTAGCCTATATAATGGTTAAAACGTTTTATATGATTTCTTTTTGCAGCACGACGTCATATTCACACTAGTGACAATTTTTTAAAAATAAATATATTGGTGCACTTAAACATAGTGTTAACCATGATATTAGAATTCAACAAATCACACTCTAAACGGTATTTTACATAAACACTAGCCTAATATAAACCACAAAGTTCAATTGTATATCCTGCAAAGTTAATTTTGAATGGGGTATGGACAATTTATGCCAGTTTCTGTTTTCTAACGTATCTTTGACATACTCGACGTTGCTTGACATGTATTTTAATGCTGTTTTTAAGCAAATTTTTAAACAGATTGTCAACGTAATTACGATTAAAAATATACGATTACGTAAAAGGAGATCTATATTTGCAAATAGCCGACACTACATTAAGATTGTGGCGGCTAGGGGGGGGGGGGGTGTTTAAACTGACTCACCAGCGAGGGTGGGTGGTTTCTCATTATCTCTCTTTCCGTGCTGCACATTTTGCTCCAGATCAGGCTCTAAATTTAAAGAAAAAATTGAAATAAAGATATAATAATTTTGTTAGCTCATATACAATATGGTTAACACATTTTATATGATTTCTTTTTGCAGCACGACGTCATATTCACCCTGGTGACAAAACCTTTTTATCTTTTTGTACACTTAAACTCACATTTAACCATAACATTGGAATTCAACACATCACACTCTGAACGGTTATTTATAATTATAAACAATAGCCTAATATAAACAACAAAGTTCAATTTTATGCCCAGCAAAGTTAATTTTGTATGTATTTTAAACATATTATCAACGAAGTTATGATTAGGAATATACGATTACGTATATGCAGATCCATACAAATCTAAAAACAGCCAACACTACATTAAGATTGTGGCGGCTGGGGAGGGGGGGGGGGGGGGGTGTATTTAAACTGACTCACCAGCGAGGGTGGGTGCTTTCTCATTATCTCTCTTTCCGTGCTGCACATTTTGCTCCAGATCAGGCTCTAATTTTTTTGGGGAAAAAAAGGAATGAAAAATAGAATGAATTTTGTTAGCCTATATAATGGTTAAAACATTTTATATGATTTCTTTTTGCAGCACGACGTCATATTCACACTAGTGACAATTTTTTTTAAAATAAATATAGTGGTGCACTTAAACATAGTGTTAACCATGATATTAGAATTCAACAAATCACACTCTAAACGGTATTTTATATAAACACTAGCCTAATATAAACCACAAAGTTCAATTGTATATCCTGCAAAGTTAATTTTGAATGGGGTATGGACAATTTATGCCAGTTTCTGTTTTCTAACGTATCTTTGACATACTCGACGTTGCTTGACATGTATTTTAATGCTGTTTTTAAGCAAATTTTTAAACAGATTGTCAACGTAATTACGATTAAAAATATACGATTACGTCAAAGCAGACCCATACAAATCTGAAAACAGCAAACACTACATTAAGATTGTGGCGGCTGGGGAGGGGGGGGGGGGGGTATTTAAACTGACTCACCAGCGAGGGTGGGTGGTTTCTCATTATCTCTCTTTCCGTGCTGCACATTTTGCTCCAGATCAGGCTCTAAATTTAAAGAAAAAATTGAAATAAAGATATAATAATTTTGTTAGCTCATATACAATATGGTTAACACATTTTATATGATTTCTTTTTGCAGCACGACGTCATATTCACCCTAGTGACAAAACCTTTTTATCTTTTTGTACACTTAAACTCACATTTAACCATAACATTGGAATTCAACACAACACACTCTAAACGGTTATTTATAATTATAAACAATAGCCTAATATAAACAACAAAGTTCAATTTTATGCCCAGCAAAGTTAATTTTGTATTTATTTTAAACAGATTATCAACGAAGTTATGATTAGGAATATACGATTACGTATAAGCAGATCCATACAAATCTGAAAACAGCCAACACTACATTAAGATTGTGGCGGCTGGGGAGGGGGGGGGGGTGTATTTAAACTGACTCACCAGCGAGGGTGGGTGGTTTCTCATTATCTCTCTTTCCGTGCTGCACATTTTGCTCCAGATCAGGCTCTAAATTTAAAGAAAAAATTGAAATAAAGATATAATAATTTCGTTAGCTCATATACAATATGGTTAACACATTTTATATGATTTCTTTTTGCAGCACGACGTCATATTCACCCTGGTGACAAAACCTTTTTATCTTTTTGTACACTTAAACTCACATTTAACCATAACATTGGAATTCAACACATCACACTCTAAACGGTTATTTATAATTATAAACAATAGCCTAATATAAACAACAAAGTTCAATTTTATGCCCAGCAAAGTTAATTTTGTATGTATTTTAAACAGATTATCAACGAAGTTATGATTAGGAATATACGATTACGTATAAGCAGATCCATACAAATCTGAAAACAGCCAACACTACATTAAGATTGTGGCGGCTGGGGAGGGGGGGGGGGGGGTATTTAAACTGACTCACCAGCGAGGGTGGGTGGTTTCTCATTATCTCTCTTTCCGTGCTGCACATTTTGCTCCAGATCAGGCTCTAAATTTAAAGAAAAAAATAACGATTTTTGTTTAAACATCAAAACATTTAAACATCAAACCGCGACACAAGTAAGGAACAGCAACGATGACATATAGGTTTGTATATTTATCGTTAACTAACAATCTCCTAATTTGATATCTTGGAAACTTCTTTGAATGGATTTGGGGTTGACAGGCTGTTGCTCCGCGGAAAGTTGTTAAGACCCTAAAATCAGCCCTATTAGTGCAAGCTTTATTCGGGAAAGCATCATGCAATATGAGGGCAATAAAAAAAAAAACTGGGCAAAAGACAACAGCCCCCCCCCCCCTCCTCCGGCAATAATGTGAACCTATTAAACATTCAAATAGTGGTGACTATACATACCGTTGGTGGTAGGTGCTACTTGTTTGTCAGCTTCGTTACTAGCCTTCTTTGAATCAGCACCTGGGTAAGTTAAAGACATTAAATTTCATTTTTATAAAAATCCAGTCTGATTTAATAACCCCAACACTGCCTGGGCATGATTTCTTTCTAAAACATGTCGTTCGGTGCCATTTTAATGGAGATTTCAGAACCCGAATGTCCATATTCTAGAACACAACATAACGATGATCATGTTAAAAAATGAACGTACTGTTCCTTTTTTTCAATTTCCTTTCAAAATAATATTTTTAATTAATAATTTGGTAGACTTTTTCAGCTTCTTCTCCCACCCTTTTGTAGCAAAAGTGTAATATTAATTTCATGAAATTTCATTCTGAAATGTAATTGATATCATAGACCAACACTTTAAGTATTTTATTGTACTTGCAAATAGGGGACACTACATTAAAGTTAATTTTTATATCACAAATAGGACATACGTTTACATATTCATAATTCCTGTAAAAGTCTACAGAATCAGATGTTGGCTACAAAAGGGACAGAGTATCTTTAAGAGGTGTGGATAAAATTACTTAAGTTATGACAATATTATATTTAAAAAAAAATAAATCATAAATTACCAGCGTGGATGGGCGATTCTCCGGTATCCCTCTTTCTGTGCACATCCGGCTTCAAGCGAGGCACTACGTTTGAGAAAAATAAGCAAAGAAAACACTTTTTATGATCCGACTTTTGTTATTCTTACTTAATTATCAAACGCGACACAAATAAAGAACAGTAAATGGGGCAATAAAACGGTGTATATTTATCATTAAACTTCAAATTTCCAAATTGTATATATTTTTTTTTTGTAATACATTTTTATCAATCTCGCAAGTGCTACACTATTTTGGAAACGGGAAGAGATTTCTTAATTATTTATTTGAGACACTAATGAAGAAAAGTAAACGGGAACCAATTCACGGTGTAAATGCATGAAATGCTTTTCAAGTAATATCCCCACCCCCCCCCCCGCAAAATATTTTGCAGATTTAACTTTATGCCTGTATGTTTTTATATATAATTTATATTTTTATTACATATCTTCTCTTCGTCAAAATATTTTTTACCATACTTCATGACGTCTTTCGTGGTGGTTGATTATTTATGGCCTCTTATTGGCCAGTTATTCTTCATGTGAGGTTATCTCTACTTTCTCTCTCTACTTTTAATGCATTCATAATAAACTACATTAGAAGAATATTTCTCAAATCTTAATAATGTTACCAGTCCCCATAAAAAAGACAAGAATATTATTCTTTTAAATTAGACGATTATTCTCAAAACCAGTTAAATGAGCCCATCTTTACTTCTTCAATTAGCCACTTTGATTTCATATTCCAGTGAAATACCTTGATTAGGAACCTTTTTGGAAATCTAAATAATTTAAAAAGAAATGGACAAACCCTATAGATCCGTACTGTATTGTTTGATATGTTAAATGATTTTGTTTCAACTTAAGATTAAAGAAGTACCTCCACTGACAAGAGGACTGTCGTTATTTTTCTTTTGTCGTCTCCCGGGTCGTTTTCTCCTCTTGGGAATTTTCTTGTGTATAGATCCCCGTATAGATTGACGCACGTTTGATTGGCCCTGTTTGGAGTTAAGGAGAGGCAGTCCCTCGTCCACGGGAACGTTAATTCGCATGAACGTGAGAGCATCTTCGGTCTTCTGTTTAAGCTCTTCAAGGACTTCCTCGTCCTTACAGAGGAAGGTAAAGCTGCTCAGCAGTTGCAGCTTTTCCCTGCACATGACTGCAGCTGCTTGCAGCTTCGATTTCCTCGTTGGCAGAGGAATGTAATTAGGAGTGTCCCCTTCATCACCTACTTCCTCGATATCAAGTAAAGGTTCATTGGCATCGGTTTTGTAGACAAAGCTGTCTACATCATCATCCAATGTGAAATAGGGTGACTGGCGATATTTATCGGGCAAACTCTCCCATGCATACCCATCAACATGAGTGATTATGGCAAACATATGTTTGCATGGGAGATTCGCCCTTTGCCAGTCCCGACACTCACAGTGCGCCATTCCGCCGGAAGAAAGTGACACCCTGTATGGTCTGTGACCTCCACAGGTTTCACTTTTGACCTGCACAAAAAAATACAAACCATGTCAAGTCAAATAAACCAGAGATAAGTATTTGTTAAATTAATGTATAACATTAATAACACGAGTTACCTTATTGTTTCCATTTTAATTGGGTCAATGTTCAAAAATTTCGTTACAAAGCGGTCTAATATACCACTAAAAGGAGTTTATATTACGAGCAACAACAACAATACCGCTTAAAATTATAAAGTAACAAATAAGAACTATGCCAATGCAAAATAGGAGTACGCATAATATGCATTCCAGAAGAGTGAGAAAAAATGATTTGCTAATTTTTTAGTCGTACATGAAAAATGTCATCTTCAACTAGCTGAATATCCTTTCTCTCGAGCACTTCTGCCTTTTCTATTCTAGCCATGCAATGTTGAACGAAGGCAGGAGGCCTGTTCCACAAGAATGGCGGAATGCCATCGTTGTATGAGCGTCCATAGGCCGCGTCCGCCTTCACGTTGGCCATGATGTACCTGATTGTATGACAAACACCACACCAAAAAACAAAATTAACATTATTATTTACTGGTATATATATTTGGTTACCTATCCTAGAGGATTGATAAAACAAATTACGAACGCATTACGTTTGCCGAATCTTATGTTGCATACAACATGTCGAAAGTAATCACGGATCAGAGATAAATTTAGGCAATAGGTTGTCAAATATCATTTTGCGTATAATTATGATGAGTATTTGCTGTTAGAGTGAGCTGGTAACATTTAACACACATCTAATATATATTTATAAGTTAAAACTTCAAGGCCATAAAAGCTACTGGCCGGGTACAGTTACCTCATTTTGATCAATTGTCAATAACACTGGGTTTCACGAAACTGTCAATCTTTTTACTTTTATATCAGTGAAGACATATTTATACGAACATGTCTATTGCACGGGTTCTACCCTTTTATTAAAGATAGCGATATATGAGTATGAAGCATCATATTTCAACAGTTCGCTTTCATATCTATGCATTATGTTACCAGTTCCGTTTGAACGAAATAGCCCTGAATTTGAAAAGACTATAGGGAAGAGTATAATGAAGCATATTATAAGTTTTTACAAAATTATTCCCCATCTACATTCAGTTTACTTCGTGGCCAACCCCACCCGGGCTACCTGACCCCACAAACATTAACCTACCGTCTCATTGCACTTGGTATAAAGTCGATGATAAGAGCTGCTGTCATGCCAGACAATGAGAAGTCTCCTTTTGCGTTCAAGAACTTCTCCTTGAATACTCTGTTTTGTCTTTCTAGTCCGTTGTTAGTGAAGGCTGGAAGACCGTCTGTTCGGTATGACCAGGACCAGCGCTAATAATAACAGGGACAAAAATTGTGGGTATATCACGCTAAATTCAAATTAACTTTAAGCATCCCAGTATAAGCATCAATTATAATTAAAATAAAAATACCAAGAACTGTTGGGAACAAAATGAGGTAGAATGGCACAGTTCAGCAGATACAAGAATAAATAGTTTTCCTAATAATGTTTGCATAGTCTACCTCTACGTGTGGAAGCCATGTTGTGTCAAACCAACGCCGTAGTTTGGGGTTCTCCGTCCAGGGAGTTGAGCTTTTCAGTTTCGTAACTGCTTTGTCCAGATCCTCACGAGATAGTACGTGTGCGCAGTTTCGCAGGAGAGACAAGACATTCTCCTCTGCTGATCCTACTCCGTTGTCCTTCTTCCGTATCCATCGAACCCAGGCTTGTTCCCGGTGGAAATCGCACAGGAAAACTTTCGCGGCTGAGGAAGAGAGATTCAGATGATAATATCTCAATTATAAGACAAAGTCCACCCAATTAAAGCATTACCATACCAATGTACAACATGCAAGGTAAACACGTGCATGTTATCATATTTATAATTATTACGATACACTGGAAACTGTATCACTTTAAGCCCATTGATTTGTACATGATTGTGATGACAAGCTGATAATGGACACCATACAAACAGTTTTACATCTCACCGCCTCCGAGTTTTGTGAAACAAAAACGATTTTGTTAACCATATTTCAGACTCCATATAAGAAGACGTACTCTTAAAGTCATTGGAAGCAGCATTATCGTGATTATATTAAATACAATGATACTGTTATGTTACAAAATTTACTTCAAGTTTGAAGGCGAGGGCAGCCTAATATCAATCTAAGTATCCAGACTTAATTATTTTCCATTTTTTCATCCTGCTGTACATTTCTATTAAGTTCATTAATAAAATTCTCTCAGAGGCTCAACTTACTGGTACATTGTTTTAACTTATCCGATTTCAAACAAGTGTCTACAAACATAAATTTACTCTTTGATAAATCTATAAAGCAAGGCTTGAATTGTAAGTAAAAATATGTTTATTTCGGGTCTACAAATAAACAACCTTATGATAATTACTGTTGGATAAAGATCCCAGTTTCATAAAGCAGCAACATTACATCTGAATGAAAATAATACCAATACTCACCAGGAAACACTTCCTCTATCGCATAGATTTCCCTCTCTGAGAAATCGGTCATGAAGGCTGAAGGCTCCCATTTAAGTTGATCTTCTGCCATCCATTCGCTGATCATCTTCAGACCTTTCACGATGACTTCACGTGTTTCTGATTGCACGACAAACTGTGCAACTACACTATACCCCACGTTTGTTTTGACTGCGACGAAGAACAGCGGGAGTGCGTAGTGAGATGTTTTGTAGGTGGCATCTAAAAATGTCATTTCATTGCCATATCTGCAATAGCAATATTGTGCATGACAAATTATTTTTGAACCGGTCGTCGTCTATGTTCTAATTTTAAAATTTCATAATGTGCCCCCAATTAATTTTATTTCAATTAATTTACAAAACATTTCACACTTAGTACAATATGTTTGCGTCCATCATATACCCATTGTAATATTCAGATAACAGGGTTCTCCTGCTGATAATGGTCTTTGGCCAGGAGATAGGAGAGAGAGGAGATAGATGAAAGAGATAACAGTGGTCGAGTAAGTAATGATTATATCAGTCATTTGTAACTGCAGTAAGTCCTTTAAAATAGATGCAAATCAATTGATCAATGTAAATGTAACAAAGAGTAGAAAAAAGAGTAGACTTTACGATGTTCATTGTACTAAGCAAGAAGCATGTAGAATCAAACAAGTTTAATCCAAACCTAGAGAGAAGATGCCTCTGAAATTTTGTCTGGTGGCAAAAGAAGAACTCATCAGGGGACGAGGATGAAGGCAGGACTTCGTCGTCTTCGATTACAAAGCTTCCCTCTTGTGGTGGCTTTGTCGGCAGTTGGATGAAAAATCTGTCTTCTGGATTTTGAAATTGCCATTCTTCCACCTGCTTCTGAAGGTTGTCTTGATCTACCTTTGAATATCTAAATCAGAGTGAGGAAGGCAGTTACCACAAGATGAAGGGAATATATAAATCCATATACCTCGTCATTGAGAATTAATGAAAATGTCAGTTCTTTCAAACTATCTATAAGAAAAAAGAGAGTCAGACTGAACATTGATGGATTTATTTGTGCTAACAATTTCGCTCCGACGACCGCAATAGAAAATTGCACTCCCTGGATAAGACTGGCGTCGATGATTATTGTACCATCCACTCTTGCACACCAGCACTATCAATGAAGCAGTGGTAACAAACAGAAAGTATTCGAATAACAAGTGGAAAGAAAGTAAAGAAAGTATAAACAAATTGCTCAATGGCCCATTTTTTTTGTGTTCAAGTACTCAAGTGTGTAGCCCGTTTTTTCCTTTAAAGTTACCCTTTTCCATCTGATCAAACATCCCTTTTTATTTATTACAAGCGCCCTTTTCGTTAATGCAATTTGTCCTTTTTCAGTTTGTTTTAAAGTTCCTCTTGTTATTTCTGATAACTGCTTGTTTTCTTCTTAGAAGTGCCCCTTTTCCATTGTTTTATGTGCCCCTTTTCTATATTTTTATTTTCATATCTGCTTTCAATTATGTGACCTTATGCCGTTCATATAATCTCTCTCTCTCTCTCATTAATATACGACACTCCCATCACAACGCTTTGCTTTCCGCCCTTTTCAAAGCGATTTTGCTCTTCCATGAGACCCCCTTCCCTCCCGGCTCCCCCCGCCAACAAATTAATAAATAAATAAAGTACAAAAATAAATAAATAAAGACTATCTATAATTTCTCGTTTAATCTATCAATCTATGTAGACACGGTCTTTTCCAAAATTGCATAAAAGCTGGCTTCTGTTTAATTGCTCTGTTTGGAGTGTCCTCTTTTACCAGTATCACACTCGCAATATATCGTAAACAGGGGAACGATAAGTCGGCGAAGGAGTAAAGAAAATGAAATTATCGTCACAGCTTTGCAAAATTGGCTATTTCGCCGTCAAAACCACCTGATAAACACAAGTCCGTTAAAATTAAATTTTTACAAAATCGTCCAAATATATATTTCATTCCGTTGATTCAGAGCGATATATGAAATTTACAAAAAAATCTTCCTCAAAATTAATATACAATTACTCATTAAATTTGTTACCATGAGCATGCAATATCCTGCACATAACAGACAGACGACTATGAGGCTGTTCACACCGCAATGAGATAGCAAGGTCTATCGTAGCACCCCCTTTTTTCTAGCGCGGTCTAGCGCGCGCTATCTCTGCCGGTGTGAACAGCCTCAGAGATCTGATGGAAGGAGGTCAACTCTTCAACATACTCATAAAAGGGCCGGAATGGAAACGATTAAACAGTAAACAAAATAAAACATTTTAATATCCACTTTTTACAATTATTTTAAACATGGATCCTGGCTTACCTCATGCTCATCTTAGCTGAGTAGATGTGCTGTGCAATGCATTCGTCACTTGGGAAATACCCTGTATCCCAGGTTGAAGGCCTATTACTTGGGTCGGGAAACAATTCGTTTTCGACGAAAATCCGTAAATGTCTCCTCATCTCACCCACTCTACCAACGCCGAGACCCACCAACTGATTGATCTTTGCAGAAACGTCCTTACTCAGTGGTCTGAGAAGCCCTGTCAGCTATTTTGTGAAAACGATAATAATAAAATCTAGTTTGAAATTCGTATTTCCTATAAATTTAGTTTTTACAGCAAAAGGCATTCTAAAGTATCGTTCTTTATAGGTAGTTAAATTATCGAGGGCAAAATCTAAGATATTACTTGCTTAGTTACTGAAATGACATTCATAGAACAGTAAAATTCCTTTATTTTGTATTACATATAAAATATAATTCGATCGAAGTATTACACTATATTGACCGAATTCAACTTGTAGTCTTTATTTATTTTCTACCAAAAAAAGAGAACAAAGAAATGAAACCTTTCCCTTTCATAATTAAATAATAATAATAATAATAACGTTTTATTTACCCAGGTAGCCACTTCATTTATGAAACTGCTCTTCCTGCATAACGTAATATGTATTACTATTACTACCCTTCTCCAATCTAATATGCTGAGCACAGAGCTAGAAGGCAGAAGGTCCCACTGTTATAAGTATTTGGTATGACTCGGCCGGGGTTCGAACCCACGACCTTCCGGGCATGAGGCGGGCGCTCTAACCACTGAGCCACCATGCTGATTATGCTTTGACTACATTTCGCCTGCGATGAATTTACGGGGCCCGAATCCCGCCCGTATCCCCATTTCCGTGCGGCCTCCGTGGGGAGGCAGGAGGCGGTCGTGAGATTTTCGTACGGATTCACGGGCTCCGCGACGACTACGATTTTGTTTAGCGGGGGAGTTAAAGTAACCACACGAAGGATCCACATTACTTCCAAATTCAGAAACACCGATTCCTTCCCCGACTTAGTAACCGGAGATGTTTCACTGAAGGGTAGTGAATACGTTCGAGACCTGGGTGTTTTAATCGACAAAAATCTTACATTTCAACAGCACATTAAAAACGTGTGTAAATCGGCATCTTTTGGAATCTTCAAAATCGGGAAAATTAGGAAACTATTTGACCGGCCCACAATTGCAAAATTAACCCATGCATTTGTATCCTCCCACCTTGATTATTGTCATTCAATTTTTTCTGGTCTTCCGCATTCGTCCCTACTTCCACTTCAAAGAATTCAGAATACTGCTGCAAGGCTTGTTACTCTCTCGAGAAAGTTTGAGCACATAACCCCAATATTGCGTTCTCTTCATTGGCTTCCCATACACCATCGTATAACATTTAAAGTTCTTCTTCTTACATACAAAATTCTCCATGACCAAGCCCCTAAATATCTTTCAGATTTGATTTCCTTACGTTCTTCTAGTTCTTTAAGACCTCTTCGATCATCATCAACCTTGCAGTTAACCCTCGGACCTCGTACCGTTACAAAATATGGCGATCGAGCTTTCTCAGTAAATGCCCCTATCCTTTGGAATAAATTACCAGAGCACTTTCATAATATTCATTCTCTTGACCAATTCAAGTCCTTGCTGAAAACGCATCTTTTTAATTCATAAATGATATTCTGCAGTTGTGAGTCGGTCAAAGGAGGTGCACACCGTCTTTTTTTTTTTGTTCGATCTTATGTTTGATCCTATGTTTGACCTCTTGTATGTATGTTTGATCTCACTCTTATCTTATTTTTTATTATTATATATGCATGATTCATTGAATAAAGAACAGATGTATAAGTTGCGTGTTTATTATAAGTTTTGGTAAATAATTGTTTAGTCAGAATATGGTGCGCTTAGAGACACCAGTATTAAGCGCCTTATAAATATTGTGTATTATTATTATTATTGTTTTGAATTCATGCAAAACTCATATCATTGCGAAGGGGGAAGCCTTGCCGATCAAATACAACAACTCTTCTCTTCAAAAAAAAATTTCAGTGAACATGGGGGCTACAGACGCCGAAAAATCAGCACAGAGGCTGCACGGAGGCTACGGGCTACGATGTTTGTGTTTACATTATCTACGAGCATCGTGCCATTTCTTGTATTGGCCCTCGGGGGCAGAACGGGACACATCCGCACAGAGGCTGCTCGGAGATTGCACGGAAATTTTGCAATTTCAATGCAGTAGCCGTGCAGCCTCCGTAGCCTCCGCACGGAAATCGTACGGAGCCCGTGCAGCTTCCGTGCAGAGGTTGCGCGGAGAAGGCGCGGTGACCGTGCAGCCGCCGTGCCGTGCCGTTTTAAGCGTTTTTTTTGTCTCCATGTTTACCCCAAAATTCGTGCGTTTGCTGCATGATCAGCGCGAGTCCTCCGCGCGATGACCGTGCGGGGATCGTGCAATGATACCTACGACATGACATGTCTACAGACCACGGGCTTTCGATTTTTCACATTTGTAGAACTTTCTGCGATACAAAATCGTAGAGCCGGCGGAGCCCCACGGAGCCCGTGAATCCGTACGAAAATCTCACGGCCGCCTCCTGCTTCCGTACAGAGGCCGCACGGAAAAGGGGATACGGACAGGATACGGGCTCCGTAGAGTAATTGGAGGCAAAATGTAATAATAATAATAATAATAGTTCATATTTATAAAGCGCCTGATACTGTGTTTCTAGGCGCAGCACATTATTACCCCGGTCATAAGTAAAAGAAATGATGAAATAAACCTTTTCAGATTTAGCTAAAAAATGTAAACTGAAATAGTTAAATTACCTTTCCCAGCTTGTGGACTGATCGATGCTTCTCTTCTTCAGGAAACTTTATGTAAACCCTTGTTTCCTTCTGAAGTTCCTGCTGTTTATCGAGACAGGCATGAATGCTTTTGCTTATTAATTTTCTCTCGTAGTCTGTGTTTCTCTCCATCTGTAACACAAACAGTGTATAAATTGATTTTGTTTATAAAAACAACAACCGCGAACAATTCCAACATCATGAAAGATTAACGAAAACAAGTTTACGCTTCGTACATCTGTAAAAGTAAATGAAAGTGGCAAGACAAACAAACATTATAATAGTCATCTGTTATGATTTATAATATATGCACATTTTGGACTACAACTGGTATGAATGATTTAAACATACCTTGAATCCTGTACACAAAACCACCTCTTTGATAATCAGCTTCGCAGAGCAACCTTTTTTACGAGACGGTTGACGCTTCTTGTAAGCCCTCTTCATTGGCACGGGGTGATCCTCCTAAAACATGTGAACCAAACATTATATAAATATACTCATTTAAAATCCCTATGTATTACCTCTATGGAAAGGCAGAGGAACTTTTTTACGAATCTGTAACAATCTGCCCCTGAGTTAAGTATAATATACCAGGAACGGTTCATTATTCAGTGAAGAGTGTTGTAATAGGCAGCCTAATCTAGTGCACCATTAAGGAGTGGCCGTGTCGAAGGAAAAGGGGACAGCTAAGATAATGAGTGGAAATTTGATTTCAATCAAATATTGGAATTAATTTTCCATTTGAAAAAAGTTAACTCTTTCAAAAATAGAAAATGGTTTCAATCTATATCTAAACAAAAATTAAAGGAACTAATGACTGGAAGTATTTTTAATAGAATAAATCAATGAATAAAGGTAAAAGGATAATAAATTACAGATATTGCTGTTTATTGTAGATTTAATTTTCCTTCTGGATAACAATAACAAATTTCTGTTCGTTTATTTAAACATTTAAACAGCTTACACCCAGTAAATAATAAGATAAGATTGATTGATCGATCTCTAATTGAAAACAAGTCTGAACTATCATGGAACCCGCGGGACTTGAACCTGCATCTACTGCTTGCCAGGCAGCGACTCTACCACCGGGCCATCACTGGTCCATGGCACAGTCAAGATGAACTTGAAACAAATACCCAATCTCTCCTGATTCCTTCTGACTTATTATTATTGATTAGTCCGCCATAGGACAATAACTTTTATAAATGTAAGGAAGCATTACATTTATGAACAATTTCTGTTCTATCTGAGAAGTTTGTAGTTGAAATTAACAATTTCGCAAACAGTGCAATTGGGGGCTCCGACACAATAGGCTACTTAAATGATAACTTTATCTTGACGTTACACACTACAACACAGTCATGAAAATCAAAAGTTGCTAATTTATATTACTCGGGATTTTCTTTTCGATAGAACCACCCACCCTCACTATATAAAAGCCTCATTTTGTTTTGTCTCTACATTTAATACTACTTGAAAAAGGAGATATGTAACTTAAATTAACAAGGAGGTATGAAATAAACATGAATAAACACGAGTAAGATTTCAAGTTTTATAAGAAATTAATTTCTGGAGAAGTGACGCATTTAGTCTGTTAAATTGCTTTCGTTTGGTAATTGATTGCTTTCGTGAAAAGTGGAAAGAGTGGAAAATCAAACCATGAATCTTTTTTCCTTTTCCATTGTTTCCCTCTGAATGCGAGCACCATGCCTCTCGGGGCCAAACATGCACACATAAGTGTCTGTGCGGACAGTAATAAACGGATGAATGTTGCCATAGATAACACCAGTTGCATCTGTAAAGCGGATTTCTCTGGGTTTCATCATCACTGCAAAAAAAAAAAAAACAACATTTGTATGGTTTTCAAATCGACTTGACATGAAGCAGAGACGACACTCCGGGGGATGGGACAGGGGGAACATTGCACCATTTTTTAAGTACCCCCAAAGTGCCTCTTTTTACATAGGAAATTGTTCCTTTAAATTTGTAAAAAGTGACTCTTTTTACTTTAACAAGTGCCCCTATCACTTTTTCAAAAATGCCCCTTCCCTCTTTTAACTCTGATAAGAGCCCCCTTTTTCTTAGATGAGCCCTTTTTCCTTCGAAAAGTTCGTTTTCTTGCTTTGCAATAAGTTTGCATTTTCCATTCTCATAAATGTCCTTTCAATCTCTAGGTGACCCTTTTCAGATAAGATAAGTGCCCCCTCCACCTCTAATAGTTGCCCTTTTTGAATCTCAGAGGTGCCGTGTATAGTTTGACAAGTGGCCCTTTTCCTTTGTTAGAAGTGTCCCTATAGGTCCCTTCCCCTTTTCATAAATATCCCCTTTTTTACAGCTCAGATGGGGGATCTTTTTTATTTTTATTATTTAACTATTCCTTTGATAAGTGGCCCCATTACAACAATTATTTGTCTTCTTGTCATAAATGCCCCCTTTCATTCTCGTAAGTGACAAATTTCATCTCTGGTAAATGACCCCTTTTCCCCTCTGATAATATTATTGCCCCTATTTAAATCCGAGAAATGCTCGTTTTACTTTTATACAAGTGCCTCTTCCCCTCCTGATAAGTGCTCTTTTCATCTCTGATGAGTGCCCCTTTTATCATTTTGACACGTACCCTTCGTCTAGTAAATGCTCATGTTTTTTCCTTATAAGTGCTCCTTCTCCTTCTTATAAGTACATACCCCTTTTCATTTCTGATAAGTTCCCTGTTTGTTTTAACATGTGCCTCCTTTTCTTTCAATTAAGGCTACTTCCCCCTTCTCTTAAAAGTTCCCTTTTACCTGCAATAAATGCCCCTATCAAAATCTAATTAGTGCTCTTTTAACAAAAAATGCACATGTTCCTTTATTACAAGTGCCCCCTTTTCATTCTCAAAAGTGCTTTTCTTCGTCCCTGGTGAGTGCCTCTTTTAAGGTGTAATAGGTGCCCCATTTTCACCTTTGATAACTACTTAACGCTACTTAATTACTATAACGCTTAAGTAATACCTCGTATGATGTATAAAGAAAAACAAAATATTGAAAACATCCCTGGTAACGTAATCACAATATATTGGTATATACCAATGTCTAAAACAAACAAAAAACATTATATTTTCGCTTTTAAATTTCCCTTTGTAGGTACCCTTTTTTCTCTACATAAAATGCCCTTTTTTATTGGTGCCCCCCCCCCCCGACTCTGGAAGTTGCTCCGTCGACGACGAAGATCAACATTCTAGCAAGAATGTGGAGGCTGAAATGAATTCAGACAAATGTAGAATTATTATCTTTCCCTGTCTTATTACCTTTACTTTTCTATAATTTTCGCTTTCTACCTTTCCTCCATATCGCTTTATGCTTCTTTCATCTCTTATGATATTCTTTATTTTATATCATTCTATCACTCTTACTTTCTGTCTTTCTCATGTTAGACTTATTTTTCCTTCTCTCGTTTTCTTTCCTTATGTGCGTCATTGTTTTCCTGTTTTCACTTCTCATGTTATTCATTATTTTTCCTTTTCTCATTTTCTATGTATCTTGTGTGTTTTTTTATTCGTTGTTTTTTCCATCCATCATTTTCTCTTCTGTGTTTAAATTTTCTATTTCTCATATTTTCCTCTTCTTTCTTTTCCTTATGGAATTCATTGTTTCTTTCTTCTATCACCGTCTCTTATGATCTTCTTTTTTTTTATAATTCTATCACCATATTAGTATTTCTTTCCGCATGTTTTTCTTCGTTTCTTCCTTCTATCATCTTCTCTTATCTTAGCTTCGTTTCTACTTATAATCACATTTTCTCGTGGTATTCTTAGTTTTTATCATTCGTTTCTTCCTTGTACCACCTTCTCATATGTTATTGTTTGTTCTCTATCTTTCCTTACATTACTCAACGGTCCATGAAGTGAATGAGAACGGGGTCCCGCTTCGACAAGCATCGGGCTATATTTAGGTAAATAACATTCGGGGAAAAGACAGTCTCCGTAACGTTATTAAAACGGGACCCGTGCCCGGACCCGTGCACCCATAAGTGAAATTAAGAAAAGGAAAGAGGAGAAATAAAAGAAGGAAAAGACGAGGTATGTGTAGAAACATACCTTTCATAGAGCTACTATCACTCTAAAAATTTTCGGGCAAACAATTACTAAATTTTTACCCAACATAAGGGCGATTATGTGTCCAACCAACTTTAGGGCAAATTAAAGATTTTGCTTGATTTACCCAGTGTTTGATAAAAAGAAAATACCCAACAAAAGAAACAAACACACATTTACCCAATCGGAAATTCACCCAATCTTACTAAAATGTGTAGCGTATTAACCACTATAGTTGGGCAAATGAGTTGGATAAATATCATGTATAAAAGGACTTTCATTTATGTCGCGGCGGGACTCAAACCGCGGACCTTTGTGATCCACAGTCCTGTGATATATCCACTCGACCACGACACCTCTAAGAACAGAACCCTATTTACCCTTACGTTTACCCAGAAACATCTGCCTGACTAATTTTTAACACCTAATAATTGGGTAACTAAACATGTAGTAAATGGTCGGGAGAAAATAACTCAATTGTTGGACAAAAATGACCCAACTTTAATTTACCCAATAACATCACCCAATTATTCATCGGTAACTTCATGGTTGGTAGGAAATAACCCAATTAATGAACAACATTTGCCCAATATCGATTTTTTTTTTTTAAACCTTTCATTAGGTAACTTCATATAGTAAATGGTTGGGAGAATATAATCCAATGAACACAATTTAACCATATTCGATTTACCCAGTGGCATTTGCCCAACTTTTTGTTTACAGTGTACTACTTTCGTATTTGATTGTGTTCGAATTGTTCTAGAATGAGATCGAAACCTTTAGTTTTGGAGATTATGTTCGAGTAATTTCCATTGCGTTAATTCCAAACTGTCAAAAAGACGACTGCTTCATCGGGAAACATCAAAAATTAATCTCCCGATTGCCAGTCCGCCCGCCCTTGTCTGATAACTGCAATCATCCCCCACTCCTCAGATCATATAATGGGAAATTTGCTTGAGGTGAATATCATGTGTATTTATATTAACATCTAAATCTCTATATAAAGATAATTTTTTGAAACTTACGACCATCCTGTTGACGAGCCTGATTACTATTGTAGTCGCTAAGACGGATGAAATTTACACCGGACTGAATTTCAAAATTCTTCTTCACCTGCAGTGCTTGGTCTGAGGTAGAAACCCATCCCCGGTAATTATTGTCATCACCTGGGCATTTGCTTAGTCCCTCAATGTCAAAGCCCATGCCTGACATGGCAACGGATGAACCTCTATAAACTCAGAGGGAATATGATGAGTTGTGACAGAGTTTTTTACGCCAAGATAAACTCGTATCCTGATGATCTGCTATCCATGACGACTCTCTCATGAACTACATCTACTATCCCCAAGTCAACCACGTGCAGATATCATGGTTCAAGCTTTTTAAAGTCACATTACGCGTTATATTATTTAGAACTAACTAGATGCTTGTGCCAAAAAAAATTGCAAAATAATTCACGGCGAGATCATTAGTGTTGAATTCAGAGTATACTAACCGCCTCTGAAATGCATGAAATGAAATATTTGAGATC